TTTACACAGCCATTTATAAAGAACAGCAATTACATGCCAGTGTGAACTTCCCTTATTGCACCAAGTAGATGTTACTTCTCACTGACTAAAACTAGTCTTTTTGCTTTAAGAAGAAAGGGGAAAAAAAAAAAAAGAAAAAAAAAAAGAAAATATATGTCACTAGGCAGAAACAACTACGTCTGTCACTTAAAAGGAAAGAAAGAAGCCACAGCCTTACCAAGAGGGAATTCTGACGAAGAGCCACACTTGTCCTGTCAACTCCCATCCCTCACGAAGCAGAGAGGAAACTCTTACAGGAATTGGTTGCAAAGCCGAAGTTGCCCAAGAGGAAACTGGTATGTCTTTTACAAGTCATGACTATGTAAACCACAAGCCAGGCATCAAAGTAAGTGCTAAAAGCTATGCTTATCAGAGCAATTAACACTGGAACCAAGCTAGGTAGAAGTAAAATTGAGCATGGAACAGAAAAATAAGAAATGTTTTCAGGTAGCTAGTTTTAAACATTTTGTTTCACAAATAGAAATTGGTTAAAAACTTAGAATCAAATACATCTGAAAAAAGGCTCTGAGTGCATCGTAGGAGACAGGAGAGCATGGGATAGGTTCTCTGTAACAAATCCCACTGTGCAAGTCTCAGCACAGTCTCAGTTGCTGACCCATTCTTCAGGTGCCCCTTTAGCTTCGCTCTCCCATGTGTCCTCCAGGGAAGAACCCTGCACTCAGAGGTGCTGAGGGCGCAGGGCAGCCCAAGCCCAGACATGCTGAGGAAAGCCCTTGGGACAAAAGGAAGGATGGGCATGAAGCACAACCGGTTCTTTTTTTCTGGGTCACCTACAAGGTGTGTCCCAGGAAACAACATCCAAATAGGGATGGGGCTGACAGCAAGGTCTGCAGAGGAGCACATGCTTTCTAACAGTTTTGCACCAACTATTTTTATTTCCCGTTTTTCCTTTTTGAGGTACTGACAAATCAAAATGAACGGCCCTACCAAAAAAATATGGGGCAGGTGTTTCAGTAAGTTACATGTTAATTTGTCCTAAGAGACAAAGAAAATAATCAGGACGTGTAGTTTTGGGTACTTTTCTGGCCTATGCATTCAGTAGTATCAGTCATGCATTTTTGACTTACAGAACAAATCAACAGTTAACAGTAGCATAAAAACCTAATTTTTAATTTTGCTCTTTACACCATTCTTTGCCTATTTCACCTATTGAATTAGTCTAGAATAGACTGAATGTGCACTGTTAAATCTTCTTCAAAGTGACAAACATTGTTAGAAATAAGGTAGATTGTCTCATGCTTTGAAGTGAACTTTCCTTTCTACTCTGAAATATTACAGACATGTTTCTTCAAAGCAGCACAGAGTTGTGCTGTCTAGGGATGCACAGGATTTCCTCAGATCTCTCTACTGTGGCACACAAATTCCAGAGTCCACAGGGAGATATAGGAACCACCCAGAGGTCTGACTGCTTTACTATTCAACACTATGAAATTATAGTGCCACCTGTAGGACACCCCGAAGAAATTTAATTTAAGCCTTGCTAATTCCACAAATGACAGTTGTCATAATTATAAGGCTTTCTATTAGTCTTGGCAGAAGCATAAGTACATAGAAAACAGGTGAGTCACATCAGTCTATAGGGAGTAACTGGAACACCTGGTTCACACTGAGTAACACGCACTGTTTTCAGTATATCAGAGCACCCAGACAAAGATATTTTGCCACTGAGATGAATTTTTTGTTGAATGAGAATATACTAGAGCAATGAGTTCATTGGCTATCCACCTGGTACTTCTATAGCCAGGAGGGAATTACCACATTTTCAATAGCAGCCAGCCAATGAACCAATCACCCTCAAACACGCAAATCTGAGGAGCGCTTCCACCAAGGCTGCAAGCATTCTGTCTCTTCTTTTAATCCCCTTTACAAAGCACAAGTAAATCACTTTTCTTTTAATCCACTTTTTAGCTGTCAACCACATAACCATATGCATTATACCTTTGTGACTGGTATTTGTGTTTCATGCAAATGGTATTTTGCATCAACTTTGGGAAGAGCTAGTTATTCCTTCAGAATACAATAATACACTTATATTTTCATCTCTCTTTTTTTCCTGTTTACTACTCATTTTTCCACCTTCTCTAACACAAAAGATGTTGCCTGTAAAAACTTCTCTCCAATATATCATCTGAAGATGAGCAGTAAGACAAAGTTAAATGTATGAATTTTTGTCGTTAAATTTCCATAAATAGCATTTGAAGTGGAAAATACTCAACTGATTAACTTAATGGCTCTGTTGCTGAAAACATCAACTTAGAAGGAGTAGAACACATACAAAGACAGCTTCTTCTTAAGGTGCAGCTGTAGTCAAAAAACAGAACAAAATATTCAGATAAATAGGACAGGGAATGGTGAATAATATAATAGGTGTAGGAATGCTTTTGTGTGAATCAATGACACAGCCCTGTGTAGAAGACAGTGTAAAATAATCATCACAATATCTAACAGAAAGAATATTTTGAGATTAAATATCAGTGAAGAGAATGATCAAAAATTGACAGAAAAAAGGTCTCGAATCAAAATGAACTTAAATATAAGCAGCTTTGTAATAAATAACTGATAAGAGATTAAACAAATATTTCAAAACTATTATTTAGACTGGGAAATACATCTCTTTCCTAGTCGTAAAGAACTAAAAGCAAGGGAGGCAGGGGAAATAAACAGTTAAAGGTGACAAAAAAGACAGACTGAAGGAAGGGGATTTTTGGCACATTTGGAAATCACCACTCCAGTAAATTGAGTGTGAAAGTCTGTGCAAAGTTGAAATTATTACTCTGTGAAACAGAGCAAATAGTGAACAACTGTGTACAGAGTGAAGCAAATAAAGTTATTTCCAGGAACATTAGGTTGACATATACATAGCAGAGGATAATTTTATTGTTATTATTAGCTTTCTCAAAAACACAGTAGAGGTGAAGAGTAAGAGACTGTCACTAACTTCTGACTGATGATGCACATCACAGGAAGAAAAAGTTCAATAGGGTGAGTGATGCAAGGAGTTAAAAAGTGATGCTGAAAATTGTGCGTAAGTATGTTGAAGAAATCACTAGGCTCCTGTCTGAGGGAGTGAGTGGGGGAGACTGAGGCAGAAGGGAGATTTCTGGAATCCTGGGGACCCACAGGGAATCTCATGCTAACATGACTACAAGAACACACAAAAACTTGAAAAGGGCATTGTGTAGGAATTCCCAATTTTCACTAGTCTGACAAGCTCATGCAAAGAAACAAATGACTGAAGAAGCAGAATAACCAGAGCTGTATGTGCCAGGAACATGAGGGCAGCTCACAGATTAATCTACTTCTCTATCATGTTCCTACAGCAGATTTCATGTTTGTTTCATAAGGATACTGCATAGGGGAAACGTCTGTAGGTTGAGAATTCGAGACGTGGTACTTTTATTTTCTCTTTGGGAGGAGAAACACAGGAATCAGAAAAGAAAAGAAAAAAGTGCTCCAAGTCACAGATTTGCAATAGCATCTCATTATATATTGTGCCTTTTTAATTAAAATTACTCTGTTAATCTCTGTTTCTTAGCAGATGGGAAAATAAGGTATCATTTTGGCCTTCCTTTGCCTATTCAGCTAATTAAGTATCCGATGAAGGTACGAAAAGGTACTGGAAAGTCACAGAAAGCAGATTATATATCACTTATTAAAATGTGTATGTATATATCGGTTGTGTGATTTCTGTCTCAGGCCTGAGACTGCAAGTGGGAAGAGTTGCATCTCTGTCAAGGAGTATGATTCATACTTGCCATACCCAACTGTTACCTGCAAACCAGTTGTTGCTGGCACTTAACATCTATGGTAGAAAGCTACCAACTCCCACAACCAAAATGCTTTTCTCTTAAGCAGTAAACTTCTGTGAAGGTATTTTTCTGTTTTAACATGTTTTATAACTAGGTGAATTTGAAGCTGAGAGAACTAGGAAGACCTTGAGCGCTCTGGTGTTGAGAGAATAGTGAGATGTCATATGCATATCACTCCAGCTTTGTATTCCTCTCTCCCCAGGACCACATCAACCTTGTGGGAGGTATGATTTTGCAGAATTACAGGGAAATCAGCTGTGTATTTACCTCTAACCTTGAGAATAAAATGCTGATGGACTGGCTGCCTCTGGGTGGGGGGAGAGGGGGAGAAAAAGCACTAAGAGGCTCCCACCCAGCTCTGACACTGACTCACCTCTTGATTGGAACTGACACATCCACAGCTCTACCTCCATACTTTTAAAAGAGGCATACAGTAATCACCTACGTCAGAGGAATGCGAAGAAAATTCACTGATATCTCTATTTTGGAATTCTCCAAAATAAACATTTCACAGGAGGGCAATATATTAGCTGTCTTTTCAATGATGCTGTTATTGGAAAAGAGAAACTAAACAGTTTCCAGAAAAGTGACCAGAGAATTGCTTAAAGTGACTTGAAAACAGATGATTACCAAAGTTAAACATTATACAATGGTTTTATTGCAGCACTATACTAACCAAGGAGTTTAGCATATGTACAGAATTCTAAATCCTACTATTTACTTAAAGTCATTCCCTGCACAACTTTATGCCACCACTTTCCTTTCATCTTTGATAAAATCCTTCTGCAGTTCCAGTTGTAATAATATTGCTGCTGCACAGAAAGAAAAAGGAACAAGAATCTTTATACAAATTTTCATACAAAAAATCTTTGGGATAAGATGGGATTTGTTGAATGTAATGCCTTTCTTGAGAGGGAAAAATTAACCAGTAGAATACACTCTATAAATTTGTACTCCAAAATTCCTAAGGCTAGCACACCTACATACTTGTAAAGAACACAAAGTAAGTATGTTTCATCCCAAGTGTAAGATCAGCAAGTAGATAAATAGCCAGTGCAACTATCTATCATCACATTTAACAGTTTGCCAAAAATTTATCAATAAGTAATAAACAACTTGGAGGTAACTCACCCAAAATGCACTGAATTTCGTCATCCACTGGGGTCTGCTGCATTTAAAAGTAAAATGCTGTCCTTAAACAGTCATATGAAATGTAGAATGTATTAATTGCCTTCAAGATTTTAACTTGAAAAAAGTCCTTTTATGAAATAGCAGCAAGAAGAGGCTGACCTATTGCCGTATTTTTGCTTGCACACTTATTTTCCAAGCAACGGCGTTTAGAAATGGTACTGTCCCTAGGTGTAAACACACCATCTCTACCATTTAGATCAACTAAATTAAATTCCTTCCCAATGCAGTTTTTATGTGAGTTGTTATGAGGAGAGCAGCCAGCTGCTGAGCCCCCAGGCCCTCAGGCAAAGTGTGTCATGCGGCAATGCCAACATGTTTACCAGGAAGTGCTCCGACCTCAGTTTCGTGCTTGCTTCTCACCAGCATTTTGTGCTGAGGTTGCAGAGCAGTTGCATTTTCTACTTCCTCTTTCTCTCTTTTACGCCACAGCAGTCAACCCATCTATCAGCATGAGAAGGGTGAATGTTGCTCCCTACCCATTCTTTCTATCCAGCTACAACTTTTAACATTCCTCCACTCTCTCACCCTATCTAAGCTTTTCATCATCAGCAGCCAGTCATACTAAGGTGAGATAAGAGAATTAAAGCTTTTTGTGATACATCATCATAAATGTTTGAGTCATTGTGGTCTAGCGAATTAAAGTCTCCCTTTCTATTTTACATAGGCTTCTTATACTAGTATTTAAGCACTAAGATTCAAGAAATCTTGGTAAAAAAACATACTTTTTTTTCCAAGTAATTTTTTCCTATTTTAACATGCACCTCAATATGGCACTTCACTGTGGTACTACATCTGCAAATCTCCAAACAACTTGAGGAACGTAGTTCAGTGTTGAGCCAATTCTATGAAGGAAAGTGAAAAGTTAGGACAAGATTCTACCTTGGTGGTTAAACTGAACAAGTAAGGAAAAAACCAAGAACTTGTGTTATAACTCTACCAGAACTTCCACACTGCTAAATATAGCAAGTCTGTGCAAAAGCGCAGAAAGTTTCCCGTTCAGACACACTGAGGATATCTCACTGGTTTTTGCACAGTGATTGGAGAGCAGCTGCTTAGCTGAGTCTCAAAAAAGTCCTCCAAATCTTCCTTGATTAAGGAGACAGTGTTTTCTACACTATTGTCAAGTCGCTAATTTTCAAGTTCATCACCACCAGCAGAAATTTATTTTCCTTTTATACCAGAATGGACAATTCATTTGGCAAGCTCATCTGAAAGCAGATTAGAAGAGAAGACAAAGAGCCTATCCACTGCTGTCCACCCGCGCAGCCATCATGACTCAGTGCTGTTCCTACGCACTGTCCCCAACATTTCAAGAAGGGCTCAAAGCTCCTCCATCCCACCATCACTCCTACAGAGCTGTTCTGCCACTAGAAACAACTGCTCAGACCCAAACACCTCATGACACAAGGCTTTGGGCATAACAGCACTTAGGCAAACACTTCCAGATCATCTCACGCATTTCAGTATTGGTAGTTCCTGTTAAGCTTTTTGTCTGATCAGAAAAGAGACAACAGGAACAAAAGAGACAGCATGAGTGATGCGCATGGTGCAGCCGGATGCTACAGCAAGGCTCTGCAAGGGAGATTACAGCAGAATAGGAAGGCAGAGGCCCTTCTGAAAGTCTTTACAGCATCAGAAACAGCTCCAAAATTAAAACAAATTTTCTTGAACACTAAAAGCCCGTGTCAGTCTATGCTGACTGAGAAGATAGATGTACAGATTTTGTTCCCAGCACTTTCTTTTACAGAAGCTTGGTTGCTATGTAAAAAGAAGTATGGATAATCCGGATGCCCCAAAGGGATGAAGGAGGTGAAGTATCTGTATCTTTGACAATGAAGAAAATAGATCTTATGGGTTTGAGTTTTTACATCTGTTTTGGTTTTGAATTTTTTTCCTTCCTTCCTAAATAACTTATATGCCTGGTTTGAAAAGGAAATAAAAACAGATTTTTAGTCTAATCTCTGAATTGGATGAGAGTCACAGTAATTCCAAACCTGCTCTTTGACAGTGGCCAAGAGCAGGAGCCAAAGTAGAGAGCAAAGGAACAAAGAAAAACATGAAGTGAGGACCTGCATGAGCATATTTGGCCTTCCATAGTTTTGGGACATCCTGAAGAAAATTTAGCACAGCTTTGTCTGGTGCAACAACTCTTCACTTCCTCTCTTTCCATTTAATTATGCTACTTGCTTTTTAGAAAGATTTTACTTTCAGCAAAAAAAAAAAAACCATACCAAGTCCACATATTTAATTTTGTGGTATGTGAAAAAGTATTTACATTTTATTTAAACATAGTGGTTTTGTTGTTATTTTGTTTGGTTGGTTGTTGTTTTTTTCTTTTTTTTTTTAATTAGGTGGCACATTTTAATTTTTGTATGAGGAAAAGTGAGCATTCATAGCCAGGTGACCATCTCTGTGCCCCCTGATCATCTGTGACTCTCCACTGGACCCTCTCCAACAGCTTTACATCTTTCCTGTATTGGGGGCCCCAGATCTGGATGCAGTACTCCCAGAGGAGCCTCATGAAGGCAGAGTGGAGAGAGAAAATCACTTCCCTATCTCTGCTGGCCACCCCTCTTCTGATGGAGCCCAGGATACCACCAGCTTTCTGAACTGCAAGAGCATGCTGCTGCTGCTCATGTTTGGTTTTTCATCCACAAGGACTCCCATATCCTTCTTCACAGGGCTTCTCTTGAGGAGTTCTTCTCCCAGTCTGTATATACATCTGGGATTACTCTGACCTAAGTGTAATACCTTGCACCTATGTTGAATCTCACTAGTTTCACACGAGCCCACCTTTTGAGTTCGTCCAGGTTCTTCTGGATGACATCCCTTCTTTCTAATGTTCCTACTCAGCTTCGCATCATTGGCAAACTTGCTGAGAATGCACTTGAGCCCATCACTGGATGAAGATGCTGAAGAGCACCAGTCCCAGGTCAGACCCTGGGGGACATTACTCATCACCAGCTTCCACCTGAACATAGCACCATTCATTATGTATATTCACTACTATAATAGTACTAATAATATTCACTATTCACATTTTTGATCTGATATAGCACACCTACAGCACCATATACTCCTTTACTGGACGCACCTCCCCTTTAGGTTTGTTCACAAATCCAAGGAATTCTGGGTTTGTGAAAAATGTCTTCTTCATCCCAGAAAAACAAAGTTAGGATTCCCTTCCTGTGATGAGTGTGAATACATGAATATAGCTGGTTATTAATTTGCCACTACCTATTCTCTTGGTGTAACTTAAATATATAATTAATAACCTTGTAACTAATTCAGTAAATAGATTACATACTACGGTACGTAACTCAGCATTTCTTTTTCTTACTTGCTTTAGGACCTCAAATGAATGCTGCCAAAATCTTTCTGCCCCTTCCCTTAGGCTGTCTGCCAGAAATACACAGTTGCAGCAGTTCAAGATTTCTCTCTAGTCTAAGCCCACATTAAAATTTGAACCAGCATATGACCTGGTCTCCTCCAACTATACAGCTTTTAACTACTATCTCCTCTCTGCATTATGGAAGATATACATTGATGGCACACATCCCGTTCCAGCCACTGTGTCACGGCTGGATTAAGTACCATTTTAAAAAAGTCACTCTCAGGACATGACAGCTGGCAGAGTGACCTCCTAGAGAGGACAAAAAGGGACAACAGGGAAATATGCTTATGTGCAGCGCTCACACTGTGGAGAGCTCAGGTTTCAGTGAGAGGTTCCCTTGAACCTTTGATACTCTGGACATAGGTAAGGACATTAAGGCTCTAATGAGACATCTAGCCTCTGTGCACACATCCATAAACTCCATGCAATCAAAGGAAAGTAGAAGATAGTCAGGCTGGAACATCATTCAGTTGTGTAAAATGCTCCATTAACAGTAGTCAGCCTAGTTATTTAGATGTCCTTTAACAATCTTGACTTAGTACATACATGGAAAAACAAAAGCAATATACAACAAAGCATCTTTTCAGAAATAAGTAGAAAGATTTTTTGAAAGAAGTGCCACAAACAAGTCAAAGACCATACCAAAATCTGTAGAAGAGGACAGGCTTGTCTCAGCATTAAAATCCAGCAGAGCCTCCACCTCCTGCAGCAGTCTGCTCAGCCTTCTACAGCATCAGAAGACAACTGTAAATTTACCTTTCCTTCAGAGAGACTACATGCAATGGAGGAAGGCAGGGAAAACATTGTGAACAACTAATCTTGCACCTCTTTTTACACAACTTATCTGTACCACAGATTAAACCATTTACTTCCTCTTCTTCACTAAGGCATTATAATCCAAGAACTAAACAGAAATAAGATGATCTTGACTGTTTCTTTTACTGTAAGAAGAAAATTAAATCACTCTAACAGATCAAAGTGGTGACTAAAAACCTTGAAAGAAATTTGGAAGACATTTTGGACAGAGAAATATCCAACCAGATGTTTTTCTCAGTAATAACAGCAGACTTATGTTTTTAGTATTCTTCATTAAGCACAATTTTGATGAATTTTCTGCAGACATAATAACCGAAGTAAACAAAGGTAACTTCATTGATCAAATAACTGGTAGATGTCTCACCATGTACAACTGAATAAAAATCAATCTGAACAGTTCAGAGATTGTCAGCAGAGAAGATAGACCATAGGGAGGTGAGCATTTTTTACAGTTCAGGAGCTTCCATTCCTGAACTTGCTTTGCAATTCTGAGCACACTCAGCTGACCTCCATTTCAGTTCCCTTTATCACCCAGTGAAAGTAACAGAGGTTCCCTCCCACATATGGAAACACTGTGAAGAACAAACGTAAATCCACTAAATAATATGAGGAACTTGGGCTGCCCAGCTGTTGTGACTACAGTCTCCAGGCACCACGAAAAGCAAGTAGACCCCAACAGAGGTCAATCCACCTCAGTATCAGCAGTTAACCTTTCGACCGGATACACTACAAAGATGCAAAAACTACTAATTGCTGACCAAAGTCTCATGATTTTAAGTTAGTAAAGATCACAGTGTCACAGTTGCAATTACACAGAATTGAGCTCTCAGTGTGAGACCAGAAGGCACCTTCTTGAAGAAGTCCTTTTGGTCCGGGTGGCACTGTGCTTTAGTTGCCAGGAGCTGCTACATAACAGTGTTAATGCAAACATATTCTTGTCAGCAAT